ATGAAATTAAGATCTAACAAAGGTTTTTGGACCCAATTGTATAGTTAGTAAACAATTCCATATATATGTGTAACATTACATACTCTAGAATGTTTTTGTAATTGTTAAATGAGGATTAAAATAGAGAAATAAGAGTTAACATTCAGCTAAAGCGTTCTTTACCCAGTAAATTAGCTGAAGGGGGGGGGAAGAAGAGGGGAATTCTATGAAAAAAGTTTGCTGAAGAAATATATGTGAAATATTTTCACCAGGTCAGCTCAAGATCATCAGAAAAGCCAAAATTAAAAAGAAAGAAATTTACCGAATTGATTATCAAAAAGGGGGTTTGTTCTGTAGAATGGCCATTTTTTGTGAATTTAGTTTTGTTTGACTTAAGAATTGTGTATATTTAAAAAAAAGTGTAGTTTAATTATATATTTTTCTCAAAAATTCTTAATAAATTTTCAATTCCGACTATTTAAGCGTAATGAACAAAATACAATAGTTGTCGCAATCTGGTAGATTAAATTGGCGAATCCACTGGGAAGGTTCACCACTGATGGGCCAAGTCTTCTAGAATATTGGGTTTACCAATTATATAAATTCGTTCAACATTAATGAAATAAATAATGCTGATTTTTCCTTCCTTAACATAATATAACATATAATGTCCTGCTAAACTCTTATTGAATTTAAGGTTGCAGAATTATGGTAAAATGACATTTAATTATAAGGCAATACTTTCCGCGCCATTTATCCGGTACCATCTGTGGCCTGAAAGTTGTCTTTTGATGCGGCGGATAATGTAGTGACTGTAGTGAGATCGCTAAGTCGGAACAACCGTGGTTGTACCACAAAGACTATAGTTATGGCGGTGTTTACTTCCTCACCACAGTCTTCTCCACAGTAGGGAACACTCATTATATTGTTTTATACTGGAAACCTTCAGTGATTGTACTGTTTACCTTAAACAACCACTCTTAGTTCTCCTTGTTTCATTTTTAGACTAATTTCTTCCTATATTTCAATTACCTTAAAGACTATGTGATCTATACACTATTGATCTCTGACAACACTATTAGTTGGCGTCGAGAAGTCTCAAGTTGAAGTTACAGAAGTTTCCACCTTCGCTGATGTCACAGCCAACTTATAGTCTAATTGGTCCATTAGCTAGGTTAAAGTCCTAGCGGTGCAGCTCCGCCCATTTAACATGGAGCCAGAGATACCTTTATACCAGAACTACACTTTAAAATCCATGGAATTTATAGATCTGGAAAGATAATTTTCTTATGTAAATGCACGTTAGCTTTTATCCACCACATTTTATTTTGATTTGCAAAAAATATATTTAAAAGTAAAGAGAAATTCCTCTATATATAGGGAAGATTATTGATTTATTTAAATCCAAAATAAAACTGATACCGCGTGAGGACCAAATTATAAAGAAGGGACTCGGTGACCTAAGGAGGGAACTTAAAGAAAGACATTTACCTAAATGTTAACTAGACACGGTGAGGGCTCCACGTGATATCTAGATACATAACACAGAGGGGGTTAGAGGTAGACTATACTATCTCACACCGTCATGTATTGCTACACCCCTGAACCCAACTTCCCAATTCCGACAACTCGATGAACTCGTTGAGTTCACTATTGGACAACAAAGTGGAATGGAGCGGACTAGAGACCGAAGACAGAACTGCTGACACTGCCAACGCTGAAAGCCGGACTTTGCGTCACACGCGAGGCCTCCCATTGGAGTTTTGCGCCAGAACCAGCAGACTAGTAATCAGTACCTAGTCCTGGGTCTGTGGAGCGAGCCAAGCTGCCGGAGGAGAAGTTGAGTACCAATCCACGTTATGTGACACAGGGTTAAAATAGTGGGTCCTCCCGCCCAACGTGGAATGGTAAATGACCACAGCCCTTGCTGTGATCACCACAGGAGTGTAAGCGCTAAAACCCGCCCCGCTGTCAATAGCTACTGTCTAACACTAGCTAGATCCTGCAACAACGTCGTTAGTAGAGCTGGAACACAGGGAAGTCACGGCTCTCCATCTGGAACATCTGTTACACACAGCAGCCTAGAATTCAGACTTTATGGTCAACAGATTGCTATTGTCACCGAGTCTCTTTTTTATTCTTGTCATTCAAGCGGTTTGTAAGTTTCAATTCTAACTAATTCTTGGGAATTTTTAATTAGAAAGGTTCTCTCTCAATTTTCACAAGATTAGCTTCGAACGAAAAAGAAATCGTTATAATTTCGTTGCAACCAACCAATTAATGAAGCAGCTCTAGGCAACAATCCAAAACACCAAATTCTTCCAAGAACCTAAGGGAAACCTACAACCTCTAGACCCAATTCGTATTTCTTCAAATTATATAATAAATTAACCTAGGCATATCTCTTCTTTTAAAAATTATAAAACTGTTTCAAATATTTGTGTAGTGCTCTCTTATATCACTATATTTCTTTAAATATAACTTTATAAGTTGTGAATATATAAACACCATCATTTAATATTTTATTTTGTCTTTTTCAATATACAATATAAAAATACGATTTATCGTTTCACCTGAGTGTTTAATATTCGCAGACTCTTAATTTTTGCTATAGTTTTCTAAAAGTTATGATCATATCTAGTTGAGATTTTTAATTACACTTTTCAAAATTATTTTAATTATCATCGTCATTTTTTGTGTTGTCTTTATAATATTTAAGAAAGGTTTTTGGGATAAAAGAAGTTCAACTGGCGTCAAGTTGATTTCTATCAATCCAACCAATCAGTTGGGCCAGTTCACATCACGTGATATTTATCCAACTTCTGGCTGATGGTGTATCAAGATTTGGTGATCAAGAAGCTTGGTCAGTCCAGCTGACAAGGAGATTTCATCAGTAGAGAGGACAGAGTTGACATCTGAGATTGATACAAGAGTTCGATAATTCTGTTTTAGTGTTGGGATTTCTCTGGTATGGACATAGTGATCATAGAAATTCTTACCTTCATTCTTCAAAATTTGTATCATAATTCCACATAGCTTTTATCTTTTTCCAGCGGAATATTTTTTATATATTATTTTTATTATATATTTTTATTGTCTTTTTAATTATAATTTGTTTGGTGAGCTTATTTTATTTCTTATTTGATCATATACCATAAGAGAGAATTGTTTTATTTTGTATATAGGTGTTTGTATTGTTGCGAATCGAGCTTTCACGCGTGGTCAATTTTCAATAAAATTATCAACGATCAATGAATGTGTTTTTCTTCAAATATTATTTGATATGGATTTATTTTGATATGAATTTTATTTTTTTTTTAATTATTTGTTTTTCATTTATTAAGATTTAAAATATTAGCTTTCTTTTTTTTATTATTTAAATTATTCAATTTAAAACTACATACTTATATACACAAATATGATTATGCATGGTCAAATATTTATTAAATAATATAATTATTGTAAAACGAAAATTAAAACGCGAATGTTTCTTTTAAAAATCGAAATTTATTTTCAAAGAGAAATAGCGACATTTCTAATTTTGAGGATGAGGTATGGAAAGGTGAAACATGAAGAGTAATGGAGAACGGAAAAATAAAAAGTGTCCAGGGGCGGGAATCGAACCCACACCCTTCTGCTTACCGGGCAGGTGCCTTGTCCACTCGGCTACCCTGGACGTATTTTTCCGTTCATAACTTATATTTAAAGTAACATTTAAAATACAATATAACGCGGCTGATGATTGTAAAACGAAAATTAAAACGCGAATGTTTCTTTTAAAAATCTAAATTTATTTTCAAAGAGAAATAGCGACATTTCTAACTTTGAGGATGAGGTATGGAAAGGTGAAACATGAAGAGTAATGGAGAACGGAAAAATAAAAAGTGTCCAGGGGCGGGAATCGAACCCACACTCTTCTGCTTACCGGGCAGGTGCCTTGTCCACTCGGCTACCCTGGACGTATTTTTCCGTTCATAACTTATATTTAGAGTAACATTTAAAATACAATATAACGCGGCTGATGATTGTAAAACGAAAATTAAAACGCGAATGTTTCTTTTAAAAATCGAAATTTATTTTCAAAGAGAAATAGCGACATTTCTAACTTTGAGGATGAGGTATGGAAAGGTGAAACATGAAGAGTAATGGAGAACGGAAAAATAAAAAGTGTCCAGGGGCGGGAATCGAACCCACACCCTTCTGCTTACCGGGCAGGTGCCTTGTCCACTCGGCTACCCTGGACGTATTTTTCCGTTCATAACTTATATTTAAAGTAACATTTAAAATACAATATAACGCGGCTGATGATTGTAAAACGAAAATTAAAACGCGAATGTTTCTTTTAAAAATCGAAATTTATTTTCAAAGAGAAATAGCGACATTTCTAACTTTGAGGATGAGGTATGGAAAGGTGAAACATGAAGAGTAATGGAGAACGGAAAAATAAAAAGTGTCCAGGGGCGGGAATCGAACCCACACCCTTCTGCTTACCGGGCACCGGGTGTGGGTTCGATTCCCGCCCCTGGACACTTTTTATTTTTCCGTTCTCCATTACTCTTCATGTTTCACCTTTCCATACCTCATCCTCAAAGTTAGAAATGTCGCTATTTCTCTTTGAAAATAAATTTCGATTTTTAAAAGAAACATTCGCGTTTTAATTTTCGTTTTACAATCATCAGCCGCGTTATATTGTATTTTAAATGTTACTTTAAATATAAGTTATGAACGGAAAAATACGTCCAGGGTAGCCGAGTGGACAAGGCACCTGCCCGGTAAGCAGAAGGGTGTGGGTTCGATTCCCGCCCCTGGACACTTTTTATTTTTCCGTTCTCCATTACTCTTCATGTTTCACCTTTCCATACCTCATCCTCAAAGTTAGAAATGTCGCTATTTCTCTTTGAAAATAAATTTCGATTTTTAAAAGAAACATTCGCGTTTTAATTTTCGTTTTACAATCATCAGCCGCGTTATATTGTATTTTAAATGTTACTTTAAATATAAGTTATGAACGGAAAAATACGTCCAGGGTAGCCGAGTGGACAAGGCCCGGTAAGCAGAAGGGTGTGGGTTCGATTCCCGCCCCTGGACACTTTTTATTTTTCCGTTCTCCATTACTCTTCATGTTTCACCTTTCCATACCTCATCCTCAAAGTTAGAAATGTCGCTATTTCTCTTTGAAAATAAATTTCGATTTTTAAAAGAAACATTCGCGTTTTAATTTTCGTTTTACAATCATCAGCCGCGTTATATTGTATTTTAAATGTTACTTTAAATATAAGTTATGAACGGAAAAATACGTCCAGGGTAGCCGAGTGGACAAGGCACCTGCCCGGTAAGCAGAAGGGTGGGGGTTTCCCGCCCCTGGACACTTTTTATTTTTCCGTTCTCCATTACTCTTCATGTTTCACCTTTCCATACCTCATCCTCAAAGTTAGAAATGTCGCTATTTCTCTTTGAAAATAAATTTCGATTTTTAAAAGAAACATTCGCGTTTTAATTTTCGTTTTACAATCATCAGCCGCGTTATATTGTATTTTAAATATAATTATTGTTAACACTAAAAATTATTTAAATCCATTGTTATACTCAATATTTATATAAAATAAAACAAATACTAAATAAATATACCATTTAATTATTCTAAATATTGTGTATATATTAGAATAAATTATTATATTTATCAAAAGAGAATAGATTTTATCTTTTTTTCGTTAAAACATTTATAGATTCACCTTCTTAAGATGGCTGAGACGAAATAATTCCTGATATCATGATACCTTCTAATAAAAGAATCAATTTGATGTTTGCGGAAGAAAGATTGCTCGAAGCATATTATATATTTATAATTGTATGTATTTCTACATTCCTCAAAGCTTATGTCTATATAGCCAGGCCCTCCCATTAATTTTTTATTGCAGTTAGGGGCAGTAGAAAATTGTTTAATTTTTAAAAAAGAATCATACGCGTCTATAATAGTTTCGAATTTTCATAATATGATATGTTTTTAATATATTTCTTCCTATATTTTATAAAATATTAATAGAAAACACACATAGGTATGTATGGTTGTTGTAATCATCCAATTTTATGAAAGTGAAATATGTTTGTAGATAATGTTTTGTTATGTTAAGGGGAAAGTACGCTCAAGTAAACAGAGCTTTTGGGGAATGATATTCATCCATTAGAAACCGTTATCATTATGTCATTCTGTAAATTGAAAATTTTAAGTTATAAAAGCATTTAAATATATATATTTATAAGGATTTTTAATACAAAGAACCAAAATATACATGTGTATATGCAAAAACTATTTGAAACTAAAATTTTTGTGTGTGTATATATATATATATATATTACAAAAGTATAACTATCTGAAAGAGTATTTCCTCCAATATAAACACAGAATGTTACATAGCTGGGAATCAAGTTAACTCCTACAGAGAATTGTGGAATTACAAGTCCCAATAACTTCTATATAACATTGCTAGATATGCATTATCAGTTTTAAAAGGTGTAAAGTGTATGTGGTGAGATTTGTTAAATTGTCTCCAAGATGGATTAAGTCAGGTCATATTAAGTTAGACAGGTCTGCTTGTCCAACATATGTCTTTCTAGTGTGTTCACTGTGTTACATTGAATGTTGGGGCCACGTTGTTACTCACCTCTTGGTGTTCCGACAGTTCTTGTTCCGTCTAGACAGGTCTGTCCAGGTCCAGTGGTGAGGAATGAACACAATCTGCAGGTATCAGGTCCTCGTGTAACCTAGATAGGTAGTCTTCAGAGTCTTGTGGTCCAGCGGAATAGAATGGTCATTGGTCATTATAGGTGCAGTTCTTGGATCGTCCAGGACAATAATGGCTTTAGACATATAAACTATATTGTTGCAGCTGTCAACAATCAGCTCTCTCAAGAGACAAGATGTTTCTATACAGTCTAACACAGCTGTCTAGGAAGTTTTAGACTTAATGACTTATTCAGGATGTGACAGACTCTAAGTGAATGAAATGTTGATTTGACCATGTTGTTGTTTCTTTGATATTTAAATGCATTCTCCAACTTGGTTTATTAAAAAACGTTTCTATAGAAGCTTCCTCTGAACGTGAAGGATCCCTTAAAAGATATTAAATAGGAGCTATTCTTTTTATCAAAGTTCTTGTTCAGATGAATCCTGTTTGGATTCCGGCTTGCTTCTTTTGTAATTTTATTTTCACAATTAAAAGATTATTGAGATAAATTGATATTTTTAGAAGTGTCAAATAGTACCACTCGAGATTAATAATTTCATTCAGTCTGATCTTATTTATTAGGATTTTTTGAAAGTAACTTTGAATTTATATATATTGAAATGCTCCCTCTCTCTCTCAGGTATATTAATATATCTCGTTTATTATATATGATCTATATAATTTGAATATAATATTATCATATATATAAATACGATGTCTCTCTCTCTCTCTCTCTCTCTGCCTGTGATTCACAATTTCAACTCGGAAACTGCCGGGAGTTGAGATTTGATTATTTCAGTCAGATTATGTACATGACCAAAAAGGATCATCCAATACAATATTCAAGCTTCCAAAGCGTTCTGGTGAATTTAATTAACGCAACCGCTGGGAGGTTCACCACAATGATGAACCAAACCTTCCTAATAACTTCTCATCGCAGTATGGACAATAGAAAGTTTGTTCTATATGAAAAAAAAAAACATCTGTGCCTAAAATGAAGTTTATTGTAATTTACTAATAATAACTTTATTAGGAAATCATATTTGCGGAAGAGCATTGCTCAATGCATTTTCTTGTAATTATATGTATTTAACTATACAGACCTATCCATTGGTTCCCTAAACTATCTTCTTTAGTAAATGCACAGGGTATATAAGAAAAACACTCCAATACAATATTAGAGCGGTCTGGAGATAAATTTGGCGACACCGCTTAGAGAGGAGGGTTCACCACTAATGAGCAAAGTCCTCTCATCTTGTAATTTATATCATTAGTGTAAGGTTCGTAGAGATAATATATCTGTTAATATGTATCATAAGAAATATATTGTCACAAAAAAAATAATTACGAAGTTCATTGTATTGGTGATTAGACTCAATACATTTATTGATGGAATTTCCAATCTTTCACAGCTACAGAAATAAATTATTCCCCCATCGAAGAAATGTGCGAATTTGTATATAGCAAATAAATGTATGTAAAATTCAAGAATTTTTGGTAGATATTCATTTTATATTTTCTTTTCTATTTGAGAAAACCAACTTTTTTTCAATTTTAATTTATTTAGATTTTGTTTTCGGTTTTGTTTATTAAACTAAGCTGCTAAAATGTATTTAGACGCAAGTATCCCAAGCTAGGATATCACGTCCGATATGTCAAATAAATAATAATAAAAAATAAGAAACATGTTGTTAAAAAAATAATAATTACGAAGATGATTGTATCGGTGATTATATAGAATATGATTTCCACATATACTCCACGATGTATAAGTTTCAGAAAAAAAGCGCTCCAGGAAATAAGCACGCCTCAATGGCTGAAATTCCGAATGCTGAAAAGAAAGGGAGGCCTCCAACCAGTAGCTCAACTTTTCAAGGTGTCCTTCAGGGCTTTTCCGGTAGCGCTTCGAGTTGATGAAATCCCTTTTGAATCCCCTTCTTAGTCCCCCGTTCTGGGATTATCCCGGGGGTGAGGGGAGGTATTTAGTAGGTCTGCAGTTAATTGATTAGGCCGCAGCTGCTTGGATAGCTCTAGTTAATAATATCTACTTTGGCCTTGAAATATAAAGAGAACAAAAGTAAAATTCTGTTACGTCAGTTCGACGGAATCTCTGTTTGTGAATTCTAATGAAGAATTCTCAAATCCCATATAGCCTTTTTTATATGTGTGGAAAAAATGTAGAATAAAGATTATATGACAATTTTGTTATTAAGAATATTGTAACAAAGTATTTATTATTTTATTAGCAGAGGATTATTTTTTTATGTTTATATTTTGCTATACTCTGTACACTTACCTCTTTTGCTTATCTTTTGTTTAACACTCATAGTTTGTTCTTGCCTGAAATAAATTGTTGTCTCATCCCGAAGTTGGTCTTTCCTAATTTTCCACGTGGCAATATGTTACTTTATGATGATATTTATTTATATGATGATTATTTCGATGTGTTTTTCATAATTTTTCTTAATGTTTTAATTAACAGATGAAACCATCATTTAGATTTTTGACTAAATCTTTCACGAAGTTTAAGAATGATATATGTGACATATATATTGTATAATATATATAATATTTCATTGTGGTGATTGTTATTTGTGCAGTTATCAATTCAACGATTTTACAACCATTTGGAAAGACATTTGTCCTGTCATTGACTTGTCACCTTGTCCTTGTTGTCTTGTCCAACGGAATATGGTAGCCGTTACTTTCTCTTGGCTACAAGAGTCACTTATAGAATGCTATCAAATCATTATCTTAACCTGTAATGTGTAGAAGTAATTTTTGAAATTGACAATTGCAGATATCTCTACGATATTTGATATGCAGATATTTGCATAGTTTTAGTATTGTTTATGCTAATTGACATCTGCCTATATAACGCGGCCTTGTTGGATTGTTCAGTAGGCTAGCGGTTAAGTGAATAGGGCAGGCCGGCGTGAACTGCTGATGTACATATAATTTTATCTTTTGTCCTTCTTTTATAGTTTTATACCTTTAGGTAATAAAGAATCTTTCTCTTCCTCTACGACTCCATACATTTTTTCAACAGGAATTTTGTAAATTGGGAACGAATTCCGCTAGCACTCTGGCAAGTCTTTATAAATATTGTAAGAATTCTTGATGCTTGTTCCAGTATTTACACCAGTTCTTAAAGGCTTTGTGTTGTGTACATCTGGCTTTCTCAAAACATCTTGGTTTAAGCAAGAGCTACTTTCTGTTCCAGTTTAGTAGATGTTGCAAAATATCTATCATGGATTCAACCATTTTTAATAAGGTACTTTTCCCTTTTTTCAATGAAATAACTATTTATTTCTAATACATTGAATATACAATAGCAAATAATAATTATTGTATTAACAGATT